CCAGCGACCTCGCGTGGTCGGTGCCGGGACCACCGGCCACGGATCTACCAGCGCCCGAGAAGGACCGAACCACAAGGGTGCTGCGTCGTCCGCGAGTTTGAAGTGGTACTACCTCTACCAGGACCTTCCAACAGGTCTCCGAAATGGTAGCTTCTACAGGCTTAAAGGTCGCAGGCGGTGACCTGTTGGAGGGTGCTGGTATAGATATAAGATAATATATGTGGGATGTGATGAGTGATTGTGATGTGTTTTGCGTTTCTTTGTGCAATTGCTGGTGAAAGAGAAAAGAAACCTTTTCCAACAGTCAATGCAGAAAGAACCGCCATGTATCAGACCAAAACTAAATACGGTTTGATCATCCATTATAGGATATTATAGGAGGAAACCTTGGCTTCATAGTGACACTGACCAACTCGTACCCGACATGTACATTAGGAGAGTCATGAACATGCGGCTTGAAAACCAGGCATGGTCTGGATTGCATCAACAACAAGTATAGTTCTTCAATGGGTTTACAATGGACCTTTACCTGGCCATGTTACTTCCATCATTTGGATCGCCAATGATTCCACGTAATGGACCTTGGCATTTCGTGGGTCCATCGGCCGCTGGAAAGCAGCCCGGCACGAACACAACGAGGAGGTGTTGGATAACCGCGGCCGGGGCCGGGCACCTCCCACTTCAGTGCAGGCGCGCAAGGATGGTTTTTCTGCGGTGACGGCGAACGGGGGGGTTGAGTGCGACAGTGACTGGTGGGGTGAGAGTAACCCGGAGATTCCCAGATCCAGGTCCGGGGTAACCTGGATCCGGTGAGGATCCGGTGAATTCAGGGAGAAAACTTTTGGGGAGGTTCGAGGGCTTTCTCAACCAGATTCCGATCTTTTCAGCGAGGTCGTGTTTTGGAGAAGTGACACGGAGTTTGGAAGAGGAACCTGCCAGTCTTAGCCTTCAACAACGAACTGAAACTCAATTGGTTGACGTGTGCATGTTGGAGTCGGCAGTTCAAGTGGGGGCCAGCCCCTCATATACAGAGCGGTCGTGTTTTCTTATTCTTCCGGCCCAACTGGTTTCACTTTGTCCCTTGAAGGCTTGCTTATGGGTGCCACCAGACTCAGAGTGTTTTCCTAGTCCTCCGGTCACTGGTCAACTGGTTTCTTTTGAACACTTGCTACTCCCCCAGGGTGACCCTTTGCATTCCATCCACTCCGAACAGTCAACCACTGCCGTATATATTTGGTTTGGTAAGTGCAATGCCATCTTCATATCAGTTGCCTTGGGTGTGGTAGTTGGATGACTCTCCCGTCCGATTGTCCAGCTTCCGGTCTGAATTGCTGTTGAGCCGCTTGCTGGCGCTTGATTCTGTCGCCCCAAGTTCCCTCAAGTATGCTGCTGGAAGTCGTCCCCAAAAAATATACCCACACGTATGGTACTGGTTGATGGGAACTACTCGTGGGTTCCATCCACCGCTTTCAGAAGAACGACAGCTCGCAATCCCAGGCCACAACTGCACGGCGGAAGCAACTTCGAAGACCACCAGATCTGGAGGCCTCTATTTTTCGAGGGCAGGGAAAGCTCGGAAAAGACTGATCTGTGGAAGTGTGAATTCCTGAATAGACTAGGAAGAAAGACCCTGTCACCACATAGATGTAAAGATATATCGACAGAAGGAAACACCCATGCATTGGCTGATCTTTGGAGAGCACACTGCTTGGAAGGATTGAGAAAAAAGACAGCAGTCTCCGACAGGTCTTGTTTGGTTTCGTCTTTGTTGCTGCAAAGTGAGCGACCTGCTCAAAGCAAACGGCTGTTCAAGCCGTGATTTGGCACGAGCATACCAGACAGAAAGAACCAAAAGAGAACTGTGACAAAGAGCTCCTAGAAATAGCAGTTATAGAAGCACCAATCTCCAATGAAGGTGCCGAGCGTCTCTGGGATCCGACGATCACATCCCCAAACGCAGCACCGGTCGCTGCAGGGCCTACCGGCGCGAGGCCACGTCGAGGACCGTGGCGATGTCAACGGCCAGGTCGGGGGACTGGAACGACGTCGGAGAATCCGGTGGGTTTGGAGCTGCTACGACGTGTTGAAAACTGTGAGACACCCACATGAATGTTGGTGAAAACAAACGTGATCAGCTACTGAATCAGAATAATGCCAGGCGGTAGGCCGGTAGGCAAAACAAGATGATGGACTTTGGAAACTGTGGTTTGGGATCTTTGTTGAGTTTTCGAGAATGAATGGGCAACCGCGGCTGGCGCCCGTTTGAAGAACATTGAAGAACCTAGATCCTTGCGCAACAGGCGAAGAAACTGGATGGGCCAGCTACACTCAATGGGCAACATCATAAGAGTCAGCAAAATGGCGAGCGACAGGAGCTTTTTCATCCTGAGCTGCTTTGTCTCGGCTTTTTGCTTGGGCACCCAGTGTTTGGACCCGACGTTCTTGGCAATGGTCTTTCAAAAGACATGAGTAGGTGGTCTTGTGTCTTTGATCAATTCAGACCAATGGTTTGGTCAGATTATGTCAGTTTGCTTAAGGCAAGATAGGGGTATGCTGCAATATGCTGGTATCCTCCAGCATGTCCGACTTGCCCACCCGGAGGAAGCTCGGCCCATCTCCATGTACGAGCAGGTGAAGCGCAAAGATTGGGCGCAGTCCTTCTACTGATGCCTCCGACCACCCAGAGACACCCACGGACACCGACCCAGGGTTTCACACTGTCCACCGAGCAGGTGAGAGGCCCTTTACGGCTGCCAGGCACGGAACGCAGGCGTGAGAGCCATGTGGCCGCCGTTCGGCGAAGTCACGAGAGATCTGCTCAAGCTGCTGTGGTGACCGGTTTGAGGAAAGCTGTTTCGAAAGCTAAGCGAACGAGGATCGACGACCGTCACAGATGCGCTTGAGACCAGATGGACGACCGAAAGAGACGGAAAGCCGAGCGAAAGAGAAGCTGGATTGGCTTCGCTGGAGTGGTAAGGTGGCGAAGCTATGGGGAGCTAATGTGGCACTGCATTTGGGAAGCCTTAGCAGGTGGCATCACCTGCTCTTGTGCTAGCATTCTGCCGCTCCGGTGATTCGAAAAGGGAGTGAAAAAGAAGGCGGCTGTGCTACTGGTCCTCGGAGGGAAGCCGGAAGAGATCATCACGGTTAAGTAGTCCGCGTAGTCACTTCATTTGAGTGTGAGAAAGCGTTTAGTTTAGACTGCTTTATTGGATCCGAGTAGAGTTGGGTCCGTTTTGGGAAGAGCATATATCATCCTTTCTTTGGCCGTTTTTGATCCAGATGCCTTTGATGATCATTCAGGAGAGCCAGGTTTGTTAGATGGACCTAGATGGAATGTGGTTTGTTTCTGTGCTCGGCAGGCGAGGATATGGCTGCTGCCAAGGAGAGCAGCCGCGGGAGCAGCCATGCATAAACCATCGTTTGATAGTCGTTGTGGGCATTATGGATCTTGTAAGGAATGGTTGAGTTCAGCCATGTTCAGCCCAAAGTGTGGCCTTTGCTTCTTATCTAGCTGCCAGCTAGACTCGAATGTTCTAGGCACACAGGGCCTGCAGGGCATCTCAGGATTTAGGTAGGAAATGCTTGCATAAGTTCAGCTTCATGAAGGTTTATGAAAGGTTTCTTTATCACAAACTGGACACTTTGAGTCACTTTCATGATATTCTCTGCAACTAAGCTGCCAGCAGTGCTAGCAATACTTGACCGCTTCCTCTTGGGCTCGAAGCAGACGAGCTCGGCGAGTAGATCCGTCAGCTGCGTCGGGCGATGAGACTCGTCGCGACTGGGAAGAGACCTCGAAATGGGTGAAGACGGTGAAGTCTTCTGTGAGAGTGGTTCATCATGTTCATCCTATACCCATGGGGAGGTACAGTTCTTCAAGTTGTTTCCAGTTTGGAGAGGCAGTCACCACGTGCCACATACTGCCCACACAGGGAAAGATCTGCGATCGGCACTCAGGAAGTTCCTGTTTTTCCTGCTCGGTCTGGCGAAAGCCGATCTCGCGGTTTGCCCGGGCGAGGGAGCACGCTACCAGGAGCTGCCACTCTGATGTTCTCCAGTGAGGGAGTACAGAGCAGGGCAGGGGGAGCCTGACCTCCTGTACACATCATCACGCATAGACAGAATATGTATGGAAAAGTCTCATTATAGAAAAATTATTGGATAATATTGGATTTGTTGTGAATGCTCGAAGTCCTTCTTGAATGTCATCATTTTTGCACCCACGCCAACTTGTCCTGAAAAAGATCCCCTCATGCTCCTCCCTGCCTGCGCTGAAATGCCCTCGGAGGACTTCAAATGCGATCACGATCCCACGCACCGCGTCTGCGCACAGCTCCTGAGTGACGAAGGAAAGCCCTTGGATTGGGGAGCCGCTTGGAGCCACTGGTGGAGTTGAGGATTGATTGGAGGAGTTGGGGGAAGAGGGGGGGGGAAGAGTTCTGTGGGATGTTTGTTATAGATCTTGGGTCTTGTGAAGATTCCTGGAAGATGAGCAGACATTCTCCAGATGTATGGAGGTCAGCATGAGGGAGTCGCAGTCTGATCATCTTCTTTCAGTTGGGCTTCACTTCTGTCAGCGCACGACACTGCGCCACGCCATGATGGCTCACCACCGCTCACAGTGACCGCGCCAAGCAGGCGCGACGAATCGAGTAAAGCAGTTTTTGGCTCAGTGGGTGGGAGGAATCAGCAAGTGGAGAGTGGCCATGAGATGCCATGAGTGGCAATTGAAAAAAACACTCATGTCGAGTTGGACGACTAAGGTTGATTCATCATCGATGCGTCGCCTTGTGTGGTGGAGATGGGATATACACTCATAAGTACACTCATATACTGTAAATTGGTAGTAAGATAACAACATGTGTTGTTTAGAGCGATTTGATGTGAATGAATCAATCTGAAGGGGTGTCGTAGACTTGGTGCGGCTTTGCTTGGACGTGTTCGTGAGTTCATGGCGCCACTGCCGTTTGGGCAGCCCGCTGGCCCACCGGTGATAGATGAATGCTTTGCTGCGAAGTGGATGGCTAACACTGACCCTGGCCAGTTTGCTGGAGAGGAAGGAGCTTGGACCCGTATCAGTCGAACACTTCCATGGGGAATTCTCACATGATGCCCAGGGGCAGGTCAATACTGAATACATCTCATGAAGATGAGGTCGTCATGCATTTTCCTGAAAGTTCCGCGGCCATAGGGTGAAAAGTCCAGGTCTCACAGTCACAGCCTGCACAACGGCCGTGGCTTCTTGTTGCGCAGGAGGAATGCGAATCTCGAGGTGGAAGTTTGGTTTGGGTTGCCCTGCAGATGGCCCACAGCGATGGGCAAGAGGCCTGGCCCATGTTGACGTGCTGGGTCGAACACATGCGTTGCCTGAAGAACAGTGGCTCGTTTCTTTATTTATCACAGCCTGCTAGTAGCAGGTGTGCCACGGCTTAAAGGTGTTGCTAATGCAAGTACTTTAGGGTAGCATCACGTGCATCCCCAAGAGTGCCACTCAAGACCCAACACGAGCTAGGCACCTTAGGGGCGAAGTGAAATGATAAAGGCCAAGTAGCCACGAACTACAAAGGCCTGTAGCAAAGACTCAAGCACAACAACTTCATCACACTCTTGTGATGAGGCCACCACTCCGCTGGTCCATTTGTAAAGTTCCCGCCCACTTCGTATGACGTGCAGCCAAAGAGAGAAGCTCAGGACTTGTTTGAAGCCTTGCTGGTGGAGCCCTTTACGCCTGATGATACGGAGGAAAGAAATCACATTTGCTTCTCGACTCGATGCATGAGTGATTGTTTGTGATTATCACCATTGACCAGCTGGTTATCCTATTCTCTCGGTTTTGCTCAGCCCTTCCCTTGGTTCTCATTGCCAGGCCTTGGCTTCCACCATCCGAGGCATCCCGCGGAACTGCGCGGGGAAGGACGAGATCTCCTCGGAGCATTGCATGAACGTGAAAGGCCGGGATGGCCGGCGGAGGCATGTGGCGATATCAAGGTGATAGAGCAAGAGCCTCAAAGGGGCGCGCAAGAGCCGAAAGAAGATCTCCTGGAGTTTAGCTCCCCTGGATCCGTTCCCGTTGAAGGCGTTTTGTTTGATCACTCCTTCTGAGTTGCCAAAAGGCAGCTGTAAGGCACCCCCACCCCCCTGGTTCACTCCTTTTCTGTCTCATGCGTCCCTGCAGGTGCCCCAGCGATACTCCAGGGAATTGGGTTCGGAATTCGAAGAATTGGGGTAGGCATGTTCTTCAATCAGTGCCGTACTGCGGAACCGTCGGCTTTCCGAATTGCGAAGGTCGACTCCCTTAATGGTAAACAATGAGGGCGTAGCGAAGGCCAGACGGGGCCGAAGTGATCTCGTTTCCAAAACGCAGAGAAGGCCGATGAGTTCTGTATCAACCCATGGCCGACCACCAACCAACGTGATCTCTATGGCAGGTTCTGTGCTTGGCAGCTTGTTGGAGGCACATCAGAAGGTGAATGGCGGATTGGGTATGGACCATTTGTTCCAGACGACCCTCCAGCAGCAACATTGGATGCTGAAAGGACTGAATCACAGTGAATCCGATGGTGGCCGAATTGAATGAAACAACTGCGCAAGAATTGACCTTCTTGACTCATATGGGAAAAACACCTAAGAACACATCCTTGCTTGCATATATGCTTTGAAGTTTGAAGTAAGGTAAGGCGTTTATATTTGACAACTGCAAAGATGGAGAAACACAGATGACAACTGCAACTTGTTTATAACCATGTGTTTTTACAATATCTTGAGCGAACCAATTGTCCAGTCTTTGTTACTTTCCTGAGGAGTTGAAGATCACCAGCCTCCATTGCCACTCTCCCACCTTTGGAGTGCGCAGCACGCGGCGCCTGCAGCGCCGCCTACGGTGATGGCGTGGCGCTTGGTGGTGCTGAGCAGCCACGCGCCCCTGGCGGCGCTGGTGGCGGAGCATGTGGAAGAGATGGTGCCAATGGAGGTGGTCTACTATGGTTTCTGGAGAATGCGATGCTTTTTTAAAGGGGGGCACCAAATACAGATTTGATAAGTATGCTTGAAAGATCTTGAATTATGTTTTTAACTATAGTCCTTTGCACAATTTGATTCTCGCCGTTCTTTTACCCATGTCAGCAAGGTCCATTTTCTTTCTCCACATCCTCATCCATCCTGGAACATCCTGAGGTTCCTGCTACCTGTGCGATCACACTGCGACCTGCCGCACGCGCCACGTGCCCAGCCGCGCTGACGGCGCTTGCACTCTGTGGCACCACCCGGACGAGGCGACGCCCAAGGCGTGGCTCACGGCGGTGGAGGATGTGGCACGGCGGGAACGCGACATGGCGCAGCTGGTGATGTGCTTCGGCCTGGCCTTGTGCCCTGGACTCAGGTTCGATGTGTTTGAGGTTTTGGAGTTGAGAGACACTGGATGCATGAGGTGAGTGAGAGAGGTGATTTGTTTAGAGTAGTGTTTAGGGTCTGTTTGTTTTACTACTTTTTGGCGAGTTGAGGTTTGTTGAACGGAACGGAGGTGGTTTCTTCATTGAAGGTCACATTTTCTCGGCAAGTTTGTAGCAATTCCAGGTGCCACTTCTTCTTCGCATTGATGCTGCTGGGCGAAATTGGCCGTAAATTTAAGACATTATATAAGCAAAATAAACAGGGGCCCCTCTGGATGGTTCATGCACACACCCTTCACTGGCACAACCATTAAACCATAAGGCTATTCTTCAACCAATCTACCAAACTCCAGTTCAATCTTTAGCCCTACAAAGCCATTGCGGCTAGAACCACTGGAGGTGGCATTTATCAGAACGCGCGCCTCCCCCTCAACCGGAACGAGCCCGTGCCGAACATCGCGACGTCGTTTGGGCGGCAAGCACGGAATTCTGAGGTTGGGCATTCCCAGGATCCAGATTCTGTGCATGAACCCGCTGCAGGGAACACCCTCACCACTGGCCCCCTTGATGCTGCTGGATCTACGACGACGAGTCTTCGAAGATCGGGTCACTTGGCAAAAAGGGAGTCTGGAGAGTTTGAGTTGATTATGAAGTGGAAGACCACTTTCTCCCTACGTACATAGGTCTTTTTTGACACTGACCTAAAGGATGATGGTTTTTGGCCGTCATTCTATATGCCCATGCAAGGCGTCAGACATGCTCGCACTATCTTGCAATTGTTTAGTTTCATGGTCTTTTGATATACTGATGAGATGTGCAAGGCAAAATAGCCAGGCACCCTTCCAGCGACAGGGGCAAGAGCACGCATCGCGAAATCCAAATTCAGATGGGACCGGAAGGTCCATTCCTGTTCACTCACCTTTTGTAACCGGATGGACCTTCTGGTGATACCAGGCTGGTGGGAGACTTCAGAAACCAGCTATATACCTTGTTATCACCAGCCTGGTTTCTGTCCAATCCCCCACCTGTCTCCCACCCACCTCTACCAGGACAACGACCAGATCTTCGTGACCAACGGCGTCACTCGCGCTCTCCTGGGCTACCACGCCGGCGCCGACGTGGCGGCGCGCGTGGCGGTGACGACGTTCTTTCGGAAGCGACTCATGGACTGGAGCCGTGCCGTCCCCTTCGGCGGCGCCTCCAGGAGCGGCGTGCTTGACGACCTGTCTGGTGGGAGCGTGCTTGAATTCAATGTGGTGATGAGTTTAGGTGAAGAGGGATCTGAACAAAGACAATCTCAACTGGAATTCTTGGGGGGTTGCCCTGGCGTTGACTCACGTAACCCTCCCCAAACTGGTCCCTCACATCTCGGACGCATCAGCAGCATCCGGACGCATGTTTGGGGGGATCGCAGCGGTTGCCAGGACGGTCTTGCTCTCCTCCAGCTTCATCCTCCAGGTGCACAGCGACGCTTCGACAGCTGCTGATAAAGCGTTTTAGCTCCATATGCGTTGTGCCACATCTATGATCCCAAAATCATCCGGGCCAATGGCACTCTGACCGTGAACCGTGAACACGAAAAGATTCCGCCCAAAAGCCGCAGCAGGGGGGGTTCCCCCACCCCTCGTCGTGCTGCCGCGCTGCGCCGTGTGGCTGGGAGGTCTCTTCGGTGTACTTGGCCTTCCGCTTGGCGTTGCAGGAACTCCTCAATGCGTTGGGGTTTGAGATGGCCGAACACCGACAGGACCCAGCAGGCCTTGTTTCTGTTTTAAAAATGTGTTCTATGATGGGTTGGGGTGAAGGAACTGGTGCTACTATATCCCAGACACTCCATGTATGCCATATATGCCTACATTGGGGTGGTTGGAGGGTTCAATGTAGGCATATATGGCATACATGGAGCGTCTGGGTATAGTACAATGCAAGACACCAAGAGTTTTCCATCTCTCGTTAAACCCAGCCAGTTGCGGTTTCCATGTCTTGATCCAAATGCCGCGAAAACGCTCCATGTTCGTCCAGGACGTGTTCTGGACGCTTCAGAGCTCTGGTGATGTGGCCGGCTTTCTGCAGCAGCTGGGCTACTGGCTTAGCGCTACACGTGTGGAAAGCATTGGAAAGCGAGATTGGTGATGCTACAAATCGTGGTTCAAGTGTTTCCATGTTCATCCAATTTCCAAAACGACCCAACAGATTCCCAGAGGGTGAAAGTGAAGGTCCAATGCTGCTGTTTGGTCGTTCCACGTCCGATTTGTCTTTACGTCCATGTATAACTATCATGCATTTGGGGAGGAAGAGCTCTGCCAAAGAAAGGCAGGATGATTCAAAGCTGGGGTGATCCCGCATGGGGGATTTCCAAAGAAGTCTTGCCAAAAGGGGATGTGTTCATCCAAGAGACAGTCCGTTTGAGGCTTTCCAATAGGTACTGACAAGATATTCACCAAACCAAGTCATTTGGTTTGCACTTTTGACCCACTTAGGCATGCCCTCACCGTCTACATCCCAGAGCATCCCTACAAGAACTACTTCAACGATGCCCGGCGCAAGTACTATTCTTGGCGGAACGTTGGGGCTTCTGAGAACTGAGACGGGCGACAAAGACGTTTATGCAGTAGCTGCCTATACCCATACTTCATTCCCCCCCGGAATGATCTCAACCGATGACGACATGGGAGCAGCTAGCTCCAGACCTTCCCTTTCCGCAGCTCGCAACCAGCCTCCAGCTCCTTCCAGTCGCCAGCCTCGAGGATCTCTACGCCATGCGCTTGCCCATCTACCTTCCCAGCATCGACTTCATCGCCCGCTTCTGGCCCGAGGCGCGCCTGCGCCCGGGCAAACCGGCGGAGGGGTGATGTCGCTGGATGCGAGGGGATGACGTGGGAGATGGGCTTTGAGGGGTGATGGGGTGACTGGTAGTGTGCTTCACCCATGAATTGCTGATCCAGTATAGCTTGGAGTTGCTTGTAATTACATATGTGGAACAATTGGGAGAGTAGAGGAGACCTCAAGAAAACCACGTCAAATACCGTTGAATGATGTCTTCTTCTGCCAGGACAACACAGAATTCACGAGGAACTGTAAACCACCTCCGCACTTCTCCGTAATACCATGGAATACCATTCTTCACATTTCTTTACTTCTATATATTGTTTCTACTATCTTCTTGTTACTACAAGTGAGGCACTTGTTACTAGAAGCGATGCACTTGTTTCTACTAGCTTTTTTCTATCCTTTTCCCATTTGTTCGGCCACCCGGAGGTGAGATCGCTGGACACGGCCCAGTGCTACGACGGCTGGTTCGATCGGCGCTTGCCCCGCACGCGCCTCACCGAGCCGAGCGCCGAGAGCGAGAGCCCTCTGCCGGAGCCCTTTGACCTGAGCGATGGGGGCTACGAGAAAGTGAGGCATCCGAGAAAGACCCAAAAGGAAAGCGAAGTGTGAGGGAATGCCCTGGTGGTGGCATGCTGTGAATAAATGTGATGAACATGTGTCATATGTACTTGGATCACATAGTTGAGGAGTAGTTTCAGAAGTTACTATTGAATTTGATAGGCGCTTAATTATGGTTATTTGGGAATGTTCCAACAGCTGGGTGGTTCGATGGATGAACCATGTGCGCCAAAGGTCTGATGTAGTCCGAAGTTAAGAGTGGAACTTCACTCAGTCAGTCTATGTATAGCATGTGTAGCTGTCATTTTCCACTCGCTTGCTGGATTGATCTATATTCCACTCCACTTGCAAGAACATCATGAACATCATTCAAAACAGAGTCAAACTCGCTCCTGGTGTTCATTTTGACCTCCTTTCCAGGACCTGGTTGGCTCCTGCGGATTACTTCGCCTTCCCCGGCATCACGATCTTCCAAAGCCTCGCCCAGCTCCACGCCTCGCTCGCCGACCTTGACGACGCGCACAGCTCGCACCTGGACGCCGTGCGGGAGCAGATGGCCAGCTTCGCAGTGCAGCGGCGAGAGGAGGCCGCGCAGCTGCTGTCCAGGGTGCTGCGGCCTGTCGTGTCAGATGCTTCAGGCGATGCGGGCGGGGTTTGTTTGAGAGCGGCAGAACTTTTGGCGGTGGTGGGCAGTAGTTCAGGCAGGAGGGAGAAATATGTAGCCAGAGATTGTTGCGGGGAGTCAAGTCAGGTCGAGGTCGAGGTTCATGGAATGGATGTATAAGCCTTTGATCGTGGACTTGTGAGTGAACAGCCTCGGCCGATGTTAATCGACAGGTGGGTGAAGCTGATTTCCAGAAGTGAAGAACACAAAGGAGTGGCTCTGATAGCTCCACGCCTTTCGCACGCCTGATGGATTGGAGGGCCTCATCACTGGCATCTACTCCTCTCTCCAAGATTTGTAGTGCATGATGTGGTGCTCAGTTCCTGGAATTCTTTTGTTTGAGCATGAAGATGATGTTCCTTGCCAAGCTGAAGCTGTCAGAAAGAATATGTGTTGATGGAAGCCATGTTGGATTTGGTGCATTTAAAGGCTTACAATGAGATTTGACCATACCTGATACTAGATACCATCCCCCCACAAGCAAAACTTAAAGGACAGTGACATTGACATATTGGTGATCAGTGGTCAATTTTACTTGAAGACAATTCGCTGTGAATTGAGATCTGAGTTTACCTCGCATTCCTACGAAAATCCGAGGCACCCTAACTCTGAGCTCTACAGAGCTTTACAGCTCAGCGCGATGGTGGCTATGAGCTCTACGACTCTGTCGAGAGGGCAGCTGCATATGGCTGGACAGATTGTCCGCCAGAAGGTGTCCACGGAAGGTGTCCAGATACGGAGTGAGGTTCACCTTTGTGCTGAGAAGAAGGACCTGTTGTAGACAGCTGCAGTTGTTGACAGTGCGTAAAAATGCGTGGTTCCTACCAAAAGGAATTGGGAACTTTTCGTGCCGTGGCGATGCGGAGATCCCCGAGAGAGCCCAAATTGTTTAGCCTTGACACTTTCAGTGTATTGCCCACTTCGTGACCTACTGAGACCTACTGTATTGCCCACTTGAAAGTGGAGAAACTCATTTACCAGAGGAGCTTATGATTCTATTTCACTGCCGTGATCCGTCAGTGTTCTTTCTGTGTCTGACGTGTTGAAGATTAATCAACCTCCAAATGCGTTGATTTTGGAGAATGCGAAGACTTGCAAAGACCTTCACTAAGCGGGTCATTGATCAGGTCAGGTGAAGAGCACCACTTTGGATAAACACATGGCCGCATGTTTGGACACCACTTTTTGGTTCAAATCTCAAGCTTTTGGCTTGACAATTGCTGCAGAAACTCTGTCAAACCCGCCCTCACTGCTTTGCGCTTGGCAGCGCTGGTTCTATTGAGCAAGATGGTGTTCGCGGAGGGCTCCATGCTAAGCACTCTCACTTTGGCCACCATTTGGGCTTTCTTTGTTTCGTTGGGAGTTGCAATCTATCTGATCATCAAGGGGAAGTACATTCAGATGCAGAAGCTGATGTTGATGGTCACCATCATTGTGACTCGACTCTGCTTGCCATGTGTGCCATCACCATCCTGTTTCGAGCATAATGAACATTACATCGATATGTCACGGGCGCATTTCGATGTTGAGGTTTCGAGCATGACACGCTTCCAGAAGCCTGCTTCCAATTCCCCTTTTTGCCATAGAAAGCATCCCCCAATCCCCCAACTCGATTGACGCCCTTAGAAAGAATCAGAAAGAACACCACTTCAAGACTGAACTGGTTTTTGGGCGGCAGGAAAAGCCTCCTCATCACCATCCTTCCCTTGTCACCATTCATCCTCAAGTCGAGGCGAATTTGCGTTACTCGGTCTTCGGCATCAAAGGCGCCATCAGTTGGGTCACCAATTTGTCGGACGCCTTCACCGACCTCCTCGTGGGCATTGATGACACCTGTGCGTCGGAGGCGCCGGCCATTTGCATGGAGCTGCCGGGGAATCCCAACAGCTTGCGAGGTATACCGGGCATCCCAGCTGGGTGACTCGGAGTGGAAAACACGGGGCAGTTGAGGGATGGAACGGCCGTGTTCGGGGGGGAGGTGGAGGTAGATGGAAGTGAGTACCTATAGCTTAGAGGTCATGGTAGGACGCATGGTCGGACGCATGGTCGGACGCGAGGTGTTTCTCTTTGGAACATGGTCAAGTCAGGTCTGGCCGGTCCATGCCCGGAGACGGGTCCGTGGCACATCGCCCACGGTGGATGCCGGGTGCCGGTGGCCCCTGATCGGTGCCCGATGAGGTGAAGTAATTTTGTCAAGTATAAAAAACTGGTGGATATGATGTGGATATGATGTCGATATGTCTTGGAAACTGGTTGACTTTGGGTAGAAGAAAGATCTGACTCTTGTGTAGTATGTGTTTGGGATTGTTTGGGTATTAAGGCCAAATGAAAAGCACACGGCATAGAAAGGGCAGTTTGCGGTAAAGGACTGTTTGCGCTTGATACATGAAGGTCGCCAGCTTCCATGTCAGGTACCAGGCATTGGTGTGGCCTCACATCCACGTCGTTGGGCCAGCCCACCGCACCGCCTGAACTGAGGCCACCGACTTGTACCAGTTGTTTGGTGAAGGTCCGACCGTCGATCAGATTTGCATGCACATCCACGTTCTCAGCATGACACTCGTTCCTTGGTGTCATGACACTGATCAGGACCGTCAGGGTGTGTGGTTTTTCGAAGGCCAGAGCTCTTCAAAGGCTCCAAACTGGCTTTTTGCATCGTTTTGGCAGTGGACTTCCCATAGATCTGGTGGGATTCCCGTCCGTGCCCAGCCTGAACGGAATCTTTGGGTTTGAACTTCTATTTTGCTCTTACAATCCTTAGATGCACCGATTGTGCACACATCCCAGCCGGCAACCACAAGCACGTGTACCCATGCAGTCGATGTCCGGAATTCCTCGAATCTTTGAGGGTCGACACTCCTCCAATAATGGTAATAAATTAATATAACTTGTTTGAAGTAGACCGTTTCCTGTTGGTCTCTGTAGCAACCATTGCTTGAAGCCAATCAAGTGAACTGTATCCGTATCCCGCCCTCACCCTGTTCTGAAGTCAGACCCGCGAAGTGAAGCCAACCTAGACTCAACATGCTCAACAACTCTAAGCTATATATAGCTTATTGAGGTGTTGAGAAGGTTGAGAGTTACAATAATAATATGCATTACATTCATTCATATGCTATAAAGTACAGTTGTCCTCCTAAGCTTCATTGCCCAATCACATCTAGTAGCCACATAACACCTTTAAGCATCTATCACCACCTTTCTTAAGGCCGTAAGGCCGCTTTCCCCACCCTCCCAGGCCTTGAGCATCTCGTTCCTCCATATCTTCGTGCTGCGCGGCAAGATCCAACGCCGCGCGGGGCAGCTGTCGGCGCTGTCCGCGGCGATCGGGGTGCCCATGGGGCTGGTGGTGGGGTTGACGAACACCACCTCAGCGAGACTCGGAGATGGTGGAGGGATTGGGGGAGGGGATTGGGATTGGGAATTGTTGGGATGCTTTGGGGGGAGCGTTGTTATTCGATTTGGGATGGTATTGTTTAATGCTGGAGCCTGGGAGGCCCTTAGCAGCTGTTTGTGAGGGGTTGCTGACTTCTGAAGGGAAGGAGAAGGATCAAGACACACAGCATCGGACTCCGGATGGTGTGCCTCTGACCTCACTCGGACTATCTCGGACTTTGGTTGAAGCAAGGTTTGATCCTGTGTTTTTGTTAATGGATTCAGGGCGCCGATTTTTCAGGCACCAAATGATGTTTGAAGAACTTGGGAGAATTGCAGAACGGGAGCCATGGCCCTGCTGTATATCGATCGCCCAGCACCGTTTTTGAAGCCAAGCCTCGTCCGTGTTCCAGTGCCTAGGGCCTATGGTGGTATGTGGGCGGTCTATGGCTGGATGTGGATGGCAGGATCCAGCTTCTTCTTGTTGAGCAAAGGGGTTTTGGCCGTGCTGCAGGGCCAAATCAAGTCGCACAAACGTTGGATGACGCGTTTCTATGTCTCCATGTGGTGTGACTTCTTGGCATCTTGGCTTTAAACATATCCAGCAAACCGGTGAGTCCAAATAGGGTGAATCCACGCAACGGAACGGATGAGAAGCCCCTGTTCGGGTCGGATTTGGAACAGGTCCAACCAATGCAGCTGCGCTCAGCTGCCATCCACTGGGGGTCAAATGAGATGGATTGGACTTATTGCGACTTTCGAACAGATTCCTGGAAGTCTGACGAGGTCGCTGAACGCTGCGTTCAGTGCACCGTGTGAAGAATCCATGGGCCCTTGAGAGAGGATTCCTTGGAGAGACCACATGGGTTGGAGGATATGATCCAGGATTTGTTTTAAAGACAACGGTTACCTAGTTACCCTTGGGTTTTTTCTCCTGTCCTGCTCTTGGGATTGCACCATGCCAGGGTCTCCAGGGTTTTGAGGGTCCTTCAGTCGTTCGATTCCGCCATCTTCCTTGCCTCCCGGCCTCCCGCGTCCGCGTTTTCACGCGCGCCTGGGCAGTCGCTCAGATCTTCCGTTTGATGCTGGTCGTCGTCACTCCCTTCGTCCGCCAGTGCATTAGTTGCGCCTTCTTGCCGATGCCTGGCAGTGAACTCGAATATTGATTGAAGATCTACTGAGCATGCCTTAAGAGGTCCATGTACATTGTAACAGGTTACCCTGCATGGGTGTTTTGTAAACTGTAGATCAAAGACAAACAAGATGACTTGCACAGGTTGACCACATCTTTCTGTACAGGCACCAGGCACCGCCCCAGGCACCGCCTCATCCGGTCCATCCAAGGATGATCTACTTATCTCCATTGATCGGGCTGATTGCGGGCGAACTGGTCCTACGAAACAAGGACCGACAGCCGCCGAGGGAGGCGAGGGAGGTGACCTGAACGGCGCTCTGCGGCAACGTCTCGACGTACACATGCGGTGACGTCTCCCGAAAACAAGTCATTCGGTTTGCATCGCCCATTTTTAGTGCCAAAGGTGTCAGTCTTACGAAGGAGGCGCAATATAGAGACATCTTTCGTGGCAGGATACATTGGGTGCATTTATGTATTCTCTCGATCTATCATGTCTCATTTATGATATGTCCATTTTCATTGGTCTTGAATCTATCGAATCGATCTGGGGAGGCATATCACTAGGCCATGTCCTTCCAAAAGCAACTTGTGCCCTCACTTCACTCTGCCCTCCGAGCTGTCTTTTTCAGGCCGCTGTTGGGAAGGCACGTGCTTTCCCAAAAGCACATGTTCGGGTGGGATCGGAGGACAATGGAAGCTGGGCCTCCAACTATGACAAGATGAAGATCGCAAAACCCTGAGTGACCGAACGGATGGACATCTCTTGGATTCTCTTGGTGAATTGCGGTGGTGTGGGGCCCAGGCTTTGCGATCGATCGTGGATCAAGCCAAAAATTGCCATGACCTGTAACTTGCGCCCAGAGTTGGTACAATATCTCCATAGGAAGACAAGAATGTTTTATGATGTCTCACGTGTTTTTTAATTGTTTTTTGCTTCGCTGTTGGTCCTTCCCCACCGACCTTCGCCCCACTCGCTGGAGCGAACCAACCGTTACGGTGTGTGGGACCGCCGCGGTTCCCCGAGGGCTCCCAGGCGGCGGGCGAGGTCAGCTGCTTGACCAAGTCAAGCAGCTGCTTAGATCCCGAGTTCCGACTTCAGCTTAGAGACACATCTGTCAAAAATCAGAGAGAAGACGGGTGCGGGGTGCGCGAGGGTGTGGGTGTGGGCGCCCAGTGGGGCTAAGTAAGGTTCATCGCCAACAGGCCACTCTGAACATTTGTGTCGCTACCAAAGCAGTTACCGGACATGTATACAATGGCAGTTTACACCTTTTCTTAAAGTGACCCCTCCTGCGATCGTTTGTGCGGCCTGTGACACTTCGCTTCCCAACGCCTGAGGTGAAAGGTAATTTCTGGGAGATCACAGGGCAGACAGCACCTTGGCTGGTCAGAATTGGTGGATCGACCAGACCACAATTGGTCAAGCAGAGCTATCAGGCTATCACGTACTTTCCTATGGGCACTGTACGACATGCACATACCTATTATATGCCCTTGCTTTCCTCTCAAAGTTTCCACTTTGCATACTGCTCTGGCTGCTATGCTGCTTTTTTCTCGAGCTTTGAGCCACACAAACATGCTTACATCATCTTACATCAATCCACCTGCCAGCTTCTCGCTTTGTTTCACGTCTTCTTCGTGTGCTTGCTTTCTCACACGTTTCACTTGCTTCTCTCTACTTCCGCTGCTCCCTGCGCTTCCTTTGCCCAGGGAACCTCGCCTCACACAGCTTTTGGCACCACATCATGCCGCTGCGCTGCTAGCAATCTGCTGCATCTGCCTGCAATAATATCGCCTGCAATAACGTACATAAGATAAGTAGTGAAATATACATGCTACACACTTCAATTTTGGTCAAGTAGTAGAGCCAGAGAGACACAGCCACGATGACGATGACTCTCGACTTTAAGGACAAGTCTATTTTGTTCAGGTGAAGTTCATATACATATATTTGTTCCAATTGTTTGTTTTGAATGTGCCTGGAACGATGCGCTGTTGCTTCTGGGGCATGGCATCACCATGTGTTCTTTTATTAAAGCCCAGTCACGGAAGGCAGACGAGGAACAAGGCACGACCGCGCGCCTTTTTCTGCCAAGGCATTCCAATGGGACTCCGAAATTCGCAAAAACCATGGCGATAGCTGGTGCATTTGCTGCTTGGGCGAGATGATTTGCTTGGTTTGTGTGAGAGAAAGACTATACATGCAGTGACTAGTGACTAGTGTCCCAAAGGAAACCAGCTCGCGGATTTTGGGGGGGGCCATTGGATACAAGTATTCTTACATATTCTTACCATTTCCTACCCCAACCACCCTTGATCGACATAGACTAATAGACTGCACAAATCCCACATCTATAGTTCCTGTATATAATATCCCCATGTATCCCCCATGTTGTTGATGTATAAATATTGTATAATAACTACGGTTCCTTGTTACTCGCCATCCCTCGCTTCCCAAAAAAGCCGAGACCCCCCGACCGACACCCCCCCCCGCGCCTGAATCCCGATGCCGGTCGTCTCCGACAAGGCATGTGGGCCACGGCGCGTTTGATCGCCACGGTGGGCTGCGAGAACGTTCACCTCCGCTGCGACGCCACGGACGTGGCCTACGTGGAGAAGAGCTGCTGGAACAGGGCGGAAGTGGGTGATGGGTGAGGGAAGTGGAGATATGTGGGGTGATGGGTGATGGGAGCGGGAGGTTGCTGGAAAGCAGTGGAATGGGCTGGTCGTATAAGGTCATGACTTTTTGGAGACCGTAGGGGACTGCGTCCTGGAGGGCGTCAATCTGGCTGCAAGGACCCCTTCAATGTCTTTGTTTGGTTGTATACCTTTATCATTCTTTAAATTCTTGATCTTTTGCTCAGCTAGAAGAGGAACGTGATCAGTTTCCAGGTCTCTCAAGTGAACCGGTGATCACACTAACGTGTTCCTTTCATATCTTTTCTTGCCATGCGGACAAGGAGACCTTTCACCTGACCGACAATTGCTGGAAGATAGCAATGTCGGTCAAGCAGACTATATCTTTGCAATTTGTTTCACATAATGCAACCATTTGAGATGGTGCGCAAGCGTTATGGAGGCAATCGGTCTCCCATTCTTGGGCACTCAATGCTTGACATCCATGCTTGATTTGCTTTTTTTTGTATTTTGTTAGAAGGTTATGAGTCGAGAATCCAAGGACACTCAGCAGACCCAAAATAGTACTCAGTACTCAAAGACCATACGCCAATGTACGCTACGTATTGCTACATCAGACAAGAGGGATCCTCTTATTATAGTTAATTCGGTCATGTCTCACTGCTTGAGGAAGATGCTTCTTTTCTTTTGGTCAACTCGTTGGTTCAGTTTCTTTGGGATGGAGCGTCTCTGTGGGGTAGACGTATGTCGGTGGGGCGTCGAAGTTGGCGTTTCGACTGCGGCCGAGGCTATTCCGATGGAGGAGTGGACTTAGCCCCAGCCAAGGAATGCTTGCAGAAGCTGCTCGCCACCGTCCGGTCCGACGGGGTCGTGAGTGTGAAGAGGCGAGGGCCTAGGCCGTGAGCTGAGCTTCGGTGGTTTTTGCCGACTCCTTTGCCCTTCTTTCCATGCCTTTTGCTTGAAGAGAAGTATTCCAACACTCCCATCATTTCTTATTTATCTCCTATTTAAGTATAGATGGAGCAACCCTTGGTTGATCACGCCTGGTGCATTGTTACGGGCGGTTTCTTTCACCCTCAGCACGGTATTTGTTGATTGCCATGATGCCAGTCATCAAGATTCCATCCAAATACCTCCGGAAGGCTTCATTGTCATCACTTGAAGCTCGAATTTTGCTTGAGCCCTTTGCCAAACAGTGTTGGTACCATCCTTCCCTCGCCAGCCGTGACAAGCCGTGACTTCGTCAATCGTCGATGCCACCACTGGGTGGTTTGCGCCACCGAAGATCAATGTATTTGACAACTAGACTACCAATATATGCCAAGAGAGAATAGGTTTACGTCATTCGGGTGGATGGAAACGATCTCAAGAACTCCAATATCCCAGCTTATTTATATATAAGCAGACGCTGTAATTCCTTTCATCCAACACCTCCCCAATGTCCTGCCCCGGTTCCCGGCTCAGCCCGTGGTGAGGAAATGCAACAGCTTGGCCCTTCAGCGCTTGGACGATGCCACCACACCACGACTACGACTGGGCCGGCTGGCGCCGGACCTGGCAGTGCCTGCGCTGATTTGTGGCCTGGTCGCTGTGGGATTGGTCGCCTTCCGACGACGAGGCGTCGGCGTTTCGGCGTCGCGTTTCGGCTTTGGCAAAGGCTGGGCGCGAGGGCGGAGGAGCGTGGGAGGTGGTGGAGAGAGATGTTTTTGGTTCCGTCTTTTTTGGTTGGAGTGGAGGAGGTTGAACTGGGAGCGACTGGGAGTTGTTCCGTTTGGTTGTAGTATACATAGTGGATGGAACAAGTGGATAGAAATGATACAACCTGAGAAAGGTCAAACTAGCTTGATGGCCTTCTTGGCCAGACCGTGTGTGTTTTTGGCGCTCAAGAGCTGACCAAGAACAACCTCCACAGAAAACGGCTTTCACAAACGGAGCGCCACCCGGGACAACCGGGGCTGACTCCGGGACCACCGCGTCACGGGAAAGTGCTCGATCGGACGGGCACTGAGTCCGCCAGGCAGCGAATCGCTGGAGGTGGAGTGAGGCGCGATTCGCCGTGGCCGTCGATTTTCGCGCGCCCCTGTATAGGAGTGGGCGCGCCCCACTGTGGCGCAGGTCCGTGATTTCGCCGGTGAACTCACCGCGAAGGATATGCTTTGTAGTTGTGGGAGGTTGCAAGATGTTGCAAGTACCACCATCCCAGTGCCAAAGCTTCGAACAAAAGGCCTGTGCGAGACTGGGCGTCAGAGAATGGGATGTAGAGAGAAACGTAGACGCCTGGGCCCCCCGTTTCGGGGTTATGAATATAGCGCATTATAGCACCTTTAGAAGTTAAGGGGTGTCCAAGTCAACCACCCCTTAAATAGGCGGCCCTGGTATGAATTACCCTATTTTCACAATTTTTGATCTTTTGAACGTGCCAATTGAAATCTGGGTGACCGTCGCTGATAGAACACATGCATCTCACAGGCTCTATAATGAAAAAACATATTCCAGTTACCACAGTGTTGCACACCCAAGTTGTAAACAATCAAGACCGTTTTGCGATGTTTTGCGTAATGAATCGAAGAGTTGTCCAGCGTTTCTCCCAGACCCATTGATCCAAGAAACCTGCTCGGAGAAAACTCTTTCAAGGACGGTCTGAAAAACACAGGTTTCGTCCTGGTTTCGTATCTTTCGTCCGAGTCATAAATCAGGACCTCGTCCTAATTGAACAACCTGGTTGTGGAAAAACGCAAACCAGGACCCGGTTCGTTTAGTTTATTTGGAGGTTGTTGGAGTGCGAAACCCGTCGGTCCTCCGCTTTCCTGAGCCATCGGCAGGCCGCTTCGCAGACCGGTCGAGCGGTTCGCAGACCGTTCGGACAGTGCGACCAATGGAAGTCTACAAAAAGAGAGCCATGTGCTATACACCCCATGTGCACGCCCCAAAAAATTTGCAAATCACCACATTGGTCCCACATGTTTTTCTTAATGTGATATGATATCTCCAGACGCGGTCCGATTTGAAGCTGCTCCGGACACCCCAACACTGGGCCCATGGAAATCGGTGGAGTTGTTTGGGAGTGCCCGGCGTGGCCGTTATTATTCACACATAAAGTAACGCAATATCAAAAAGGAAAACAACTAGACGACGAGTGGCTCGAAAGCATTTTTCATCACGTATGAAGTCAGAGTGTGAGTTATGTGTTAAGTGTTCAGTGTGAAGTGTTAAGTCGAGTGAGTCGAGTTCTCATCTTCCAGCTCCCCAGCTATTCCGCTTACTACAGTTGTACTACCACGTCGCCAATTCTCATCTTCCCGCTCCCCACAGACTCCGCGTATGGAGTTGGTGCTACTACCCACTCGCCAGTTCTCGTCTTCCAGCTCCCCAGATACTCCGCGTACTCAAGTTGTACTACCAAGTCGCCAGTCTCATCTTCCAGCTGCCCAGATACTCCGCATGCTATAGTTGTCCTACCAAGTCGCCAGTTCTCATCTTCCAGCTCCCCAGATACTCCGCGTACTACAGTTGTACTACGACGTCGCCAGCTCTCATCTTCCAGCTCCCCAGATACTCCGCGTACTACAGTTGTACTACCAACCAAGTCACTAGTTCTCATCTTCCAGCTCCCCAAGTACTCCGCGTACTATAGTTTTACTACAAAGTCGCCAGTTCTCATCTTCCAGCTCCCCAGCTTACTACAGTTGCACTACAAAGTCGCCAGTTCTCATCTTCCAGCTCCCCAGATACGTGCGCGTGGGACAAGTCGCCCTCTCGCCTGCTTTTCGCGCACTCGACCCGCACAGTCTCAGCAGAGGGTTGCGCGCGCATGGGGCAAATCGCACTCTCGCCTGCACTTCGCGCACTCGATCCGCACGATCTCCGCAGAGGGTTGCGCGCATGGGACACATCGCACTCTCGCCTGCATTTCGCTCACTCGACACGCACGATCTCCGCAGAGGGTTGCGCGCATGGGACACATCGCACTCTTGCCTGCATTTGGCGCACTCGACACGCACGATCTCCGCAGAGGGTTGCATTTTCGGTTGACGCTGTTCGTGCCACCCTCCGCCTTTAAAGAGAATTTTTAAAGTGGGGAAATGTTTTTCATTAGGACATCTCCCGTGAAAGTTTTCAACTTTCAATACTCACTTGACGACCGTTTTTCCACCTTCGATCCACTGATAAGTGGATAGAGTTGCTAGCATCCGCTTTCTGTCACCCAGTTCGAGGCTCCAGAAGCTCTTGAAGCTTCTACACAATTGTGTGCTGCCCAACAACTCGCACTTGGCCGGTAGTGAAATGAAATGAAAATATAAAATTTGGATGGAATAGTAAATTATATAGTAAATATAAATTAAGAATACAAATTTTAAAATAAACAAAATATATTATATAATATTCGATATATAAATTTCGTGATATATATAATATTTAATAAATCTGAATAAATAAATATTATAGAAATTATAAAATTTATTACATTTCGAAATGTAAATATTATAAATTGCTTTAAAAAAATCGAAATATAAAATTAATTATAAAAATACTATTATTTAATTTTTAATATGTAAAATTCGTAACAAATATAAATTAAATGAATATTAATATACTAGCGGCATTTATTGGTACATTAATTCTTGTACGTTTTGAAAAGTGGTTACGATGGTGGTTTCTCCTACTGGTGTTGGAAAACGCTCGCTTTCCACAAAAGTATACGAAACGATACTAGACCTTTTTACCCCCACTATACACCCACCCCCATGTATGTTTGTTTATCAAGTTCCTGCTGAACCTGCTGGACAACATCGCGTCTGGAACCTTAGCCGTTGGTGTTTTTTGACTCGCCACGCTTTAGGGTTTGAATCCCTCCTCGAAATACTTTTTGTACTTTATGAGGCACCGTGTCATCACACGATGTACTATTAGAGAGCCTGCATTGAGCCTACGCGCTACTCTGCAGCATTTTCTTATATAATCTTCATCGCTCCAGCACCCCTAGCCTTAGTTTAGGAAGTTGTTAGGGCTAGAAAGGTTTCACATGCAAACACTTGGCCAGTATCAGTCTAGGAGCAAAGGGGGGTTAAGGACTTTGGAAGTCCAAGTGCAATCCTTCTCCAGCATCGTCCTTGGCATCAAAGGTGTGCACAAAATTCTTACCAGCAAAAAGGAATGTGAATCGCTTCAACTAAGCCTCGAGATGTGTACCCAAATATGCAGCTTGGGTCGTAACTTGTAAAGGTGCTAGCCTCGCTGCTTGGCCAAAGATGCCAAAGCTGCAAACCCCTCCTGGGCTAAGATGACTTTTCACCAGCACAGTAACAACTAAGGCTTTTCCTAACCAGACCAATTTAAAGAAAACATGCACTTGGAGGGACAACAAGTATCGCCACCAGCAAACCCATGTTGCACAACCCTTTGCGCCACTGAGACTGGCATCCAGAGCCCTTCGCCATGAACTAAGTGGTAGAACATGTTGAAGTTCTGCAACGTCCACTGCAGGATCTCCATGATGTTTGGGTGTTCCTAGATGTTTTTAGGCAACAGATCCACAAATGCATGCTCTCCTATCAGAGCACCACCAACAAGAATAAACAAAAAGGTTTGCAGTCCCAGCCAATAGTCAAAATCTCCAGGAACTATCCCCTGAAGTTCTGCATTCAGCCACTTACAAACAAGCCCCGTGTCATGAGCCCGGCCCGTACCTCGAGGATACTGCTTCAACCTGGCAATGGCTCAGGCAAGATGGGCCAGGGATTGATTGGTGGCTGGCAGGTGTTGGGAGTTGAGAAAAAATAGAAAGCATGCAGAAATCCAAGACCAGTTCAGAAACGAAGTTATATGGAACTTGTTCAGCTCAAAAGACTTGATCTGGGCATTCTTGTGGTTGTCAAAGCACCATTGAGCAAAACGGTCATATGCGCAATCCAAACGTTTCTGAATTGTGGACCCATAGTCGTCAAAGAAATTCAGACGACAAAGAGTAATGACCGCAGAAAAAGCGAAGTCACCGCCAATGCCAATATTGAATGTATGCATTAAATCTGGCTTGATCGCAGAGGGCCTGTCACCACCTGGAATGGATCTCAGTGGTGAAGGCGTACCTGCCTTGTAAGGGTGAGCTGGCTTAGCATTCCTCCAATCCCGTGCTTCACAAGAGGATGTCATATTCCACCATTCCTAGGATGAAAACAAATTCCACTTATAAATAACTTATATATATATATGCACAAACAATTACGAGACCCAAACACACAAAACATAAACTTGTCTATGTACATTGAAGCATCTGATCCATTGCATAAATGGCAGACCCTCCGTGAGGTGAAGCCGCTGGCCAAATTATATGCCTTCCTAAGCCATGGCCAATCTCCCTTACACCCCAGGAACGCCACAAAGAACTGCTTGCGTTGGCCAGCAACCTGCATGGAGAGTGCTGGACCCACCCCCACCAAACAAAGATAAACACATTGCGACCCATTCAAACCCTTTAAGATCCTTTTGGTTCTTTGAGGTTGAGATTTGAAAAGAAGCAAAGCTTTATATATATCCTTCAAAGGAATTGTCACCGTAAGTCCCTCCTCAAACAGCGCAGTCAAATCAGCAGCCAACGCTTGCAGGAGTCCACGAATGCTCGCATCTTTGCGGGCATACCATGTGGCAGGCATCAGGGTATACAATAGCCTTGTCGTGAAAGAGTTCCTCAATTGGGCCACGGGTCTGTGGACAAGAACATGTCCTTCTCATATTGAATATCCAGGATATGTGGAAGAAATACCATAAAAACTATAATAATATTAATTCAGCACTAAGGGACTGAGAGCAATTGAGTTTATCTGGGCCGGAAGATGGGATCAGCAACTGGTAGGATATGCACATTACTGGCACTTTGGAAAGTCCACGACCTTCATCCCCATGAATGGCAATCGGTATGGTGTGTTGTAGTTCCTCCAAGCTCTTCTCACGAACTGGGTGGTCCCGGTCAAGTATGCAATAGTTGATCCAGAACGAAGCAAACATGTCCATGTAGGATTGATGACCATCCTTCTCAGGGCAATACCCTCCCAGTATATATCTTGGGTACTTCTCCAGCATTTGTTGACACCAGCTTGATAGGTGTATCACAGGATGGTCACCAAGCCTTTCCTTGACACGCCGCTTCCCAGAGGTTGTGGTCACCTTCTGCCGCAGTAGGATTGAAATGGATGAAACCTTAACATCCAGAACCCTGCCATGCCGGTGCACATACCGGTGGAAGTCCCGAGCAGCATTTGCACCTTTCCTCCCACTCTTCGACTGTCTGTACCGGGCCAACCGGTTGAGTTCATGATCTTGGACACCTGCACGGAGTGAGATGTCAGGGAAGGTTCACCCCATGCTAGCTACATGCATGGAACATGTTTAAAATAGTTCTTCAAAAACAAAGAACCCATGTGCACCCAATCGCTTCATCCTTTTGGCTGCAACAGCTGCCAGTTTAATGATTCGCTTGGAAGAAGTAGCCTAGGACAGTGAGCCAATAAGGAAAGAAACAACAGGGTCACCACAGGTTTCAATAATATATACCTCATGAAAAGTATAGAAATTGCAAAACCAACTATATCTTGGCAAAGGTCCCCTTGCTCAGTGTCCTGGAGCAAAGCGTCCACAAGGTCAGACGTCGAAGATGATGATCCTGCCAGCGGTTGTGTGCACCCACTTTCCACCTCCCCAGCTGCCACCCGAAGGCCTTGATCATCCTGATCAGGCTCTTGGTCACAAGGATCCAGGCCTGCACACAGCACACCGTGGGAATTGGGGAATGCTTGGTGGCACCGGGCCTGGTGCCACCTGGTGTGTGAGCAGGCCAGTGAATCACGGTCCTTTTTCTTTGACATTTGCCCCCATCAAAGCTCTTCGAACACAAATGGTTGAGATCCTATTGCAAATTTGACAGCAGCGTCCAGCAACACGCTGTTTGCAGTGAGATTAGGTAGAAAAGTTGGCTCCTTCAAACAACAAAGGACAACCTAGCTATATCGTAATAGTTTTTGGAATTGTTTCACCACATCATAAGAGCCAGGTCTTGAAATGCCAAAGAACCCCATTTCTCCTTGGAAGTGGGGCCTGTCCTACTTCTTTGCTTTCTTGGCCTTTGCGACCTCTCCCGAAGGCGGGTTCCGCTTCAACGATTTCTTTGCAGCCACAGACTCAGTTGGCTTCTTGATATTCCTCAGGAGGAGCTCAGGTAATTCGATCATGCATGTATAAAAAAGACAATGCACAGCTATAGCCATAAGTTCTAAATGGCATTTGAGAATCTTGCTCCGAGTGAGGTAGTTGTTAAGTGTCACATCATCCTTTGTGCACTGTGCAAAAAGTCCCATCACCTCGTTCTTCTTGGCCTCAAGACTCCTTTGGGAAGTTCTGCACAAAAATCATTTTGTGTTCCCTCAAAATAACTACATGACATTAAGAATTACAAAAATTTGGACCCCCCCACTCAGGTTTGGAGGTATCCATGGCAAGGTAGTCAGCTTGCTTGGCACTCAACTTGCCATACAGGCTGTTCAAACTCGTGAGCAACTTCTCCATCTCTTTGGCCATCCTTATGAATCACAGCACACAAAATATAACCATGAGGTTGCATGAAATTAGTGGCACAATCTAGCACCCACACACACATGTCAATATTCGCCCAAGGAACTCTGTTGCACGGGGAATCTTCATCGCGATAAGACGGTCCTGGTAAGCAGAATATATATTGCATGGACTTATTGCAAACTGTTTGTGTGCACACCCACGTATATAGTCCTTGGCGTCAGTTGCTGAGTCGACTTTCTTGCACAGTACATTGATGAATGTGGGTAATACAGCAAATGGCGAATCATTTCGCTGGATAGTCGGAAACACCAGCCTCAACTAGAGTTTACCCCCACCCTACAAGAATCCAGCATGGACAACTCACATGACAAGATGTGCATGCTTTATTGCAGCACAGTGCTGTCAAAGTTGCTTGCTCTTGCCTGCAGCAGCCACAACAGCTGCTTGCTTAACACGGTCTTCAGCAGATTCTGGAAATGCTGCGTTTGCATCCTCCCCAGCAAATTGGGACTCCAGCATGCCTCCATCCACATCCTGCCCACAAATAATGTCGATCAATTGTAGCGTATATCGATATGTATACATACAGATCTCAGATATACAGTCACTCATTTCAATCTACTCAAATGGAAGCCTTGCCTCAAGAGTCCCTTGAGCCCGAAGATTTGTCGACTCCCCTGTTTCAGAAGTGTGCTGGAAAAAATCTTCAAGAACAAGACGGGCTTCTTGTTCCCCATGAACTTGGTTGGTACGAAGAAGACCGCGTTTCTCTGCCCATGCAAAGGACCTATCCGCCATTTGCCTTAGATCATGAAGAGCTAATGTGCATAAAGGTATATAGGTTGCTTTGGTAATTACACAGCATTCCATACACATACACATCAAAACAAGCAAGATGCGCAGTGTAGTTTTCCTTTTCTCTCAAATAGGTCTTGGTGACCCATTTGCCATGTTGGCCAACCCGTTTCAGCTCGGTATGCCAACGTGCAACCTCGGCCTCCACACTTTTGAAGGAACCATGAGTCTTGAGCAAAGCCCGGAGCTTGTCACCTTATACAGCGGGTGCGTGACACACCCTGTCTAAAAGATAGGAAACAAATGACATTTGCAAGTCCACATGCTATGAATAGGGGACATGAGACGACCTTCATCAGTGTTGTACAACTGCAGCACTTCCTTTGAAGCCTTGACCTGTGTCTTGTACTTCGGGTCACAATAGCGCCGAATCCTAGGTACATAGAACAAAACCCAAGCACCAAAAGTGGTAGGTGTTCCAAAACATTTCAAAAAACAATTCAGGCACCACACACACATACATGTTCTGTTGCCATCTAGGCACTGGTGGTAGTACTTGTCAAACTTGTTTTCAGACTCTGCTGACTCTGCTGCATGAGCGGTCGAGGGTACCACAGATGATGGCACTGGGGAACCTGGGGAATACCCAAGTGGCATCCCATCATCCCCATCCCCTGCCACTGCCGTTGGACGATCCTTTCCACCCTCACCCTTAGTGAGATCGATCACATTGTCACCCACACCCTGGCCACCATCCTGAGCCTGCAGTTGGTCACCCACACCAGGGCCATCTTGACCCTGTGGTTGACCACCTTGAGACAGCGGAGGCGTATCACCTTCTTTCCCACCTGCTTCCTGCGTGGGTGGCACCGGTGTATCAGGAAGGGTCAGGGTTTGGTTCACATACGGTTCGGCAGGAGGAACCACATGAAGTGAATGCAAGTCTTTCGATTCCATCCTCCATGCACTGTCAAACGAAGGAGGACGAGGGCTCACATCGGGCAGAGCACTCTGAGCCAATGGAGCTTGTGTATTCCCAGCCACAAAGGCACCACTAGCTGATGCAATAGCCGGGGCACCTTCGGAAATCAAGTTGATAATCAAACATCCATAGTGGGGAAGGCTCACACACACATGGGACCATACATAGTGCACACGTGAAAAGCATCACCCTTGGTTCAGCCTGGGACCGCTGAGGTGCCCCTCTCCTGCAAGAAGCTGTTGCGACGAGCTTTCAGTGCCGCTATCTTGGCACGGGTCTCCTGGGCGGTGAGCGGGCGGTGGGCAGGCGGCAACAAGGGGTTCATACAATTAAGATCTACTCAGCCCATATATATTAGCATATTCAGCATTCAGATGAGGTTCCTCAAGCTTTGCCAGAGTAGCTTCTTTGCTGTAGTCCCGTGTTGGACAAGACATGGCACAGCCCTTGACTAAAGTCAGGCAACTAGTCACCTCCTTTGGCATCTCTTGGACCCAAAAATCTGGTTTAGCTAGACAATTCATGACAACTAGCAGTTCATCCCTGAAATGCATTCCACAAAAGTACACTTTTGAAATTTTCGGTTTTTTGCGGTTTTTTGCGCGGATTTGCGCTCGTTTTGCGCAAATTTTCGGTCGAGAAGATTTGTGTGAATCCACATAAATCACCTAAAGATACCTCCACAGCCTAAGATTGAACAGCTGCATTGTATTCCAAGCGTTCCACCTCATCAACGCATGCCTGGGCTGGCACCGGGCAGGAAAGGGATGTGATGGGCACCAGCAATGAAAGCCTGGTACAGGTAAGGTGCTAGCTTGATCAAGTCATCATTGAATTTGGACATCACGGCCATCCAGCTGTCTGGAACGACCAGATGCTTGCTACTGTAAAGGTAAAAGAAAACATGGTGGAGCTCTGCATCCAACCAGGGATCACCTAGTGGCATTGAATCAAATAGTTCCCTGTCTGAACAGGTCAGGTCAACAGCGGCTTTGTGTCGTAGGTGACTCGGCAACTCACGACGTCCTTCGTAGAGCTCCAGTAGACGCAATCCAAACCCTTCAGGATATGCCCTCAGAGGACAGAGCATGAGATTGCATGGGAACAGCTATGTACACATATCGAATCTAGGTAGCCAACGCTGTTTGCTTGAGATCACCAGTGCCAACAAATTTCTTCTCCCCACGTTTGTTCTGGTATTTGCCTCATTCCAGAGCAACACTCTTCTAATTAAGTTTGCAAACAGCCACATGATGAAACATAAGGTTCTGACGGACTGGTTGAAGGGATGTGTTGGCTTCTTTGGTTTTTTTGGTCAACTTGCCCATATTGAGGCCCTGGATCCATGTGGCATTGCTCCAGCACAGAGTTGGTTTACTGGTGAGGCCGCCCAGAAGCATCATCCAGAAGCGAACGCAATAAACCTTGGCCCCACTTTATGGGAAAGGTTTGGGTCCAGATCTCAATGGGGTTGACAGGTGGCCAACGTTTTCAAACGTACTGGGAAGGATCACCTGTTGCAAACTAATTGAGTTGAGAAGCATAGCATGTGGAATTACAAAACGCCTCCCATCTCCGATGTCGATTCAGGATCGATCCACCAGGTTGCTCAATTACAAAGTAGCAATGTTTCGCCACTATGACCATCAAGATCAGAATCATCCTGGGACAGAGACCAGTTATTAGTTTAAGATGGCCCCCAGCCAACCTAGAAAAGATGAAGGTTGCAAATAGAAAGCCTTATAGATCACACTGGTCCAAAAGTCCGACTGATGCAAAGATTCCCTTGCCCAACAAAGTCTAAATGCATAGCTCCATTCACATTGACATATGTCCTTCTTGTTGTACCCCTTGCTGGAACTCCCCATGAACTGCAGTCCGGGCCCATCAGGTTCATCGATTCTTCAGCTTCGCAAAGAACTACCCATAGCACTAGCCTCAGGAGATGGCTCCCCAGCACGGCAGTGAGCAAGTGCATACATATGCCATGTGTATGGTTATGTATTTTATGTTCTTTAGACAAAAAACGCGAACCCCGCAGAGTTCAAAAAGTTCATGGTCCTCTCCCCCTTGCAATAGATCTCATCAATTTTTGCACAAATATATCCCCTGGATTTCCTTAGCTGTCTAGGAATGCAGATTGTATGGCTCATACAGCGAACTGCTACCTTCTAGTAAAATTCTTTGCACATGCATATGTACGTGCTTCAAAGGGCCAAACTGTGTAGGCCTTAGCCTCTCCTGCAAAAAGGTCCAAGAACTGGAACCGCGTTCGGATCTCTGGCAGATTCTTTGACCATTGAAGCAACAACACGATTGCTATCAGGACCTGCACACGGGCATGAACACCAATTGTTGCACTATACATTGCCACATAAGACATATTAACACCCATGTTGTGCCAGCCTTGGGGGCTCCGACTTGCTGAAGATTCACCACCATGGAATCCATGGCTTCACAACAGTCAGGGGACCGGGGATCCAAAAGGTAAAACAGCTCTGATAGATACAGCAGCCATGTGCAGATGCTCTTCAATGTGCTGAACAATAGGTGCAAAGGTTCAGAAGTGGGACCTAAGAAAGTCAAAGGATCCGAAGTGGCCTCCAAATCGAATGGCCTAGCCCTCATTCATGATGAAGGCCTGGACCTGCGTAGGCACATTGGAGCAATTGCTTGCCATGTGTTCCTTGTGGTGCGTTGATTGCAATGCCTCCCCCTCGACCCGTAAAACCATGTACAACCCTTTTCAACTTCTCTTCCCCAAAGCTCTCACGTGTTCAAACGGCTGATTGGCATGGGCGCTGCTGTGCAGCCTTTGCCATGACCATTTCCTCACATGAGATAGCCCCGAAGCTCTAGCCATTTCAGCTAGGCCAAGATGCCCTCACAGAACCAGATATAGATATCACTTGGTGTTGCGATAAGCCTTAGCTCAACTCCAAATTGCAAAATAGAAAGAGAAGCAGCACTGTGCCAGACACAAACACCAAGAAACCTCTTTTGCAATCTCTAGTGCTTCTTCCTTCGTGTGTCCTTCCTTCAGAGCCGCCCGCTTTGCCGTATGATATGCAGAACTCTTCCTGCTTTATTTTGCTTTTGTCTCCAACTTCTCAGCCTCCTTCTCATCAGCCTCTTCATCCTGTTTTTCACTGCTGTCTTTACCATTCTTTTCATGCGCAGCTTTCCGCCCTGATTCCTTCTTTGACCTCTTTGGCTTGCTTGGCTCCTCTGTCTCCTCAGCTTCCTCCTTTGCATCAACCTTGGCCTGAACCGACTTCCTTTTCCTTGCCAACGCCTTGCCCTTTTCCTCCTCATCATCCTGGTCAGGCTTGGTTTACCGCATCTTCTTTTTATCCTTTTCCTCTGGCTTCTTGGTCTTTTCCTGCTTCTCCTTTTTGTCAGTCTTGGTCTTTGGTCGAACCCGCTTCCTTCGCTTTGGCTTCTCATTCTTCTCCTGTGCCTCATCCTCCTTTGCCTCCTCCGCTTCATCATTCTGCTTTTTGTTCTTCTGCGTCTTTGCTTGTTGGTTCTTCTTTGACTCCTTTGTCCGAGCTTTCTGCTTTGCCATAGCCTTTGCTTTTGCAGTCTTCTTTGAAGTTTTCTCCTTCTTGCTTTTCTTGGATTCCTTTGGCTCGGGTGGAGGCTCCTCCACAGATTCATGATCATCAGAATCTCCAGCATTTGATTCTTCACCGCTGCAGTCCTCATTTTTTTCAGCCTCATCATCAGATCCACTCTCACTTGCCTTCTTTCCTTTGCCCTTTCCATTCTTCTTGCCTCTTCCACGGCCTTTGGCTCCCTTCTTCTCCTTCTTGTCAGACTTCTTTTTTCGGGGTGCTTGCTCTTGCGGTGCCAGGATTGGAATAGCATCTAGTGCTGCTGGCCTCCCAACTGCTCCCTTTAATGGCACTTCTTCCTCTTCTTCTTTTGGTTCTTCTTCTTTTTCTCCACTTTCAGCTTTGGCTGCATTCTCAGGTGCGGCTTCTCCCTTTGCACAATCCTTCTCATTTTGTTCATGGTCATCGTCTCTGGCTTCTC